CAATCTGAAACTACCTTAAAATGTATATCCTATAATATACTGTGCCTATCAATCAATAGACGAAGGGCCGCATTAAACCAACCAGATAGTTCACTAAGGGAAGGAAGGAGACTTGGCAAACTAGAGATAGTTTCAAGCAGACCATTGTGAAGCAGAGAGTTTATGAACAATTCCTCGTTGGAAGCATTCATTCTTTTCAAGTTTATTGTTTAAAACCCAATGTTCTATGCTAATTGATATCTCTTAGCTGCCCCCAGAAAAATGAATGTCCCCCTCATCATCAAAATTATTTCTTTCTTTCCAAATAGTGGAGGCCTCCAAAGGTGCTAAATTGTTTTTTCTGCTTCTTCACCCTTTCCTTCTCAACTTCCATCCTGTGAGCACATTACCTATTCAACTTCAAAACGTTTTTATACTATATCCCAAAGTGACATACACCCTGTTAGAGATATTTATGATGACTGCTTAATAATTTTAATTCTGAAAGAAGGAATTGTCAATATGATGAATAGATATAACCTTGACTTAAAACTATTGGTCTATAGTATGTACATTGAATAATCAGGAATTAAAACAACAGAAAGTCACATGTTAAAAGTACAAGGGACAGGTTGGTCTGACAAAAGTTACCTAACAAGCCTAATAATTACAATTTATAAACTACGTAATACTGCAGATGCAAGGTTCTTGTATGTTTGGTAAGTGAATCACCTGAGTTCGAATCTTATTTAGTCGGAATGCTTGTACCTAATCAAGTTGGTCTTTTTCAACTAAGTGGTCACCTCCTATTTCCTTAAATCATCCCCACATGAACAAAATTTTCCTTTTTTGTTGTTTCCTCTCTAATTAACATTCTCCTTGTGATGACTTCACGTTCTCCCAAATATTATAATCGAATAAACTATTTAATTTTACCTGGATAGGAATAATCAAATTCCACCTAAATAGTCATGTCATTGTACATGCAAAATGTCACAGCAGAGTTTAAGGGAATCACAAAGATTGTGCTCTGAGCCTTTGAATTCTGGTCTTTAGCAAGTTTATCAAAAATAAAATTGACAGAAAGGTTCAATTAAATTTCCACCTAAAACCATTCCAATTTGACTATTTCTTTATTGTCTATATGACTGTATCAGCTTCTTCCATCAGTTTGACTAATGACTAATATACTGTCCACAAAAGTGAAGAAAAAAGAAGGGCTTCCGTAGCTAAGAAAAATGTCAATCAGAAAATTGCAGAGGCTATACAGGTGCATGATCAAAAGTAAACTCAAGAACTTCAACATGGGGAGCTTCAAATTGTTCACCGCATCACCATGTGATCCTCCATCCTGTTGACATCATCACAGATGTTCCCACAAAAACTGTGGAGTGGCGTCCAAAATCAACAGCCACCAATGCAAATGCTGTACTGGAATGGTGTAGCAGAGTCTCTCTCTCCACTTTACCCGTCCGCTCCATCAAGAAACTGTTACTTGTAGACCTTTCTTCCATTTAAAAATTCTTAGAGAAAGTGACAAAAAGCACTAAACGGAGCATTACTATCTAGAGAAAACATTGAGCTAACTGTTTTAAGAGAAAACTAAACATTCTATTCACCACCTATACATACAGGTCATTTCACAAATCCCTACGGCCTACACGTCGCTAAACTAAAGAAAGCTCTTTAAACTTCAAGGTACTTTTTCTCAATTCAAAACACGATTCATGCTACAACATAATATTAACATATAATGTATAAACAAACATCTTCTGTAATTTGGTGAGCATCAATGAAACAATTTACAAGATTCCGTTATAATTCCACAAATGTTCACCAATTATCCTACCAGCCTATGTATATTAATTTGCAAATGAAGCATAATTAGCAAAAACAAGCCAGAGAAAAGAAGTTGTTACCTCTTCTGAAAGCCGGTATTGAATTGGAAGAAATTGCATCCTTACAAGCCCGCATTGCTGCAGAGGTAACGTCTTGCCTGTTTATTCACTCAGTTAGATTCAATTAAAAAAGATTTCTCCTTGCTCTGTTTTCTCCTACACCAATTTCAAAAAAACAATATAAAACAAACATCAAGGCACATTCTCCCAAGGGGTGACCCAGAGGTCGAATAGCTGAAATAACAACCTCAGAATCAAGGTTCAGATTAGTCCAGTCCTATTAAAGATGGGGGCAAATCAAGCAACTCTAAGTAGATAGATGGGATAGGAAGGAATAACCACCGATGGCATTTGCAGCTGCTATTTTATGATCGATATAAAAGCAGTTGAGCGCAGGGATTGCCCATCAAAGGGGTGGAGCTAGTTAGACCATTACCAAAAGTTTCCATTCCAATCCTTAAAAAGAGAAATCAAATGGAAAAAGCTTGTGACACAAGAAGGGCAGGAACCTTAATCCTTGAGGAAAGAGATAGAAATGGATTACTTGCTTCTCCAAAGGCCCCCACGCAGTTAAGAAGCTGAAAGAGAAGCTACTGGGACTGGGCATGGGCATCCTCACTGATGCTATTTAGTTATTTGAGTTCAGATTCCAGCTGAGGCCATATCAAGTACTCCCTCCGTTTCAATTTATGTGAACCTGTTTGACTGGGCACGAAATTTAAGAAAAAATGAAACTTTTGGAATTTGTGGTCCTAAACATGTCAAAAAGGATGTCAGAGTATTTGTGTGGTTATAAAAGCTTCTCATTAAGGGTAGAATTGGAAATTTAAGCTAAATTGTTTCCAAATTTAGAAAGGGGTCATTCTTTTTGGAACGGACCAAAAAGTAAATAGGTTCACATAAACTGGAACGGAGGGAGTAATTTTTTTCGTATCTGCCTAGCTCTGAAGGGGAGCCTTGGCGTAACTGGTAAAGTTGTTGCCATGTGACCAGGAGGTCAGGGTTTCAAGCCGTGGAAACAGCATCTTGCAGAAATGTGGGGTAAGGCTGCGTACAATAGACCCTTGTGGTCTGGCCCTTCCCCGGACCCTGCACATAGCGGGAGCTTAATGCACCGGACTGCCCTTTTTATCTGCCTAGCTCTTAATTGGCAGAATTACTCACTAGTTGTGTGGGTGGGAGGTAATAGATACTCAATGGATTAGTTATGCAAGCTGACACAAAGACTACTGTTTTAAAAAAAATCTAAGGAGGTAGTATATCTTCGTCCGACTAGTCGGCGCCAAAAAGATCGGGACACTATCTTAAGAACTGAAAAAGAAAAGGATTAAAGTTGCATACATTGACAGTCTTATAATTTTTTACAAATCCCCTATTTGCCAATAGAAATGTTGGCTTAAAACTTTACATGTAAATATCTTTTAGCTCATCTGATTGTGTAAAAAAATATAAAAAGAGTAAAAAGCAGTGAGAGAGATACCCATGTTGATCATAGCCGACGCCCATTTCGACAAAGAGAAGAGTCATGGAAGAATTCGGCACAGAATTAATATTTTCCATTGGGGTTTGCTCATTAGCTATAGCTGTATATTCTGACGTCGACGAGGAGGAAGCTATGATTTGGCGATAGATTAGAGGTACTAGGAAAAATGATGGATTCTTGAACCCAGTATGGCAATTGAGAATTGGGAGAGGGGGATTATGGTTGAATGAAGGGAGATCTGTTGGAGGGAGAAGCTGGAGATATCTGATTGAGCCAATAGCAATCATCTTTGTCGAAGCAAACTCTTGCCGCGGATAAACAGCCCTTCCAAGACCTTGCTCCGTTTTTCCTTCTTTTTTCTTTTTTCATTTTTCAATATTAAAAAGTATTAATCAAATTAAGTTATGTTATCTTATAAAATTTCTATTACGTCAAAGGAGACTCGTATAGTTATGGAATAGTAATTTTTTGTTATATATATTTTTTAATTACATTATCTAATATTTAGTATTATTACATTGTAAATATAATTTTTTATTTATATTACTTTATTTAATAAGTCACATATAAAATCAGTTATTTTTTTTAAATTGCCAAGTAGCATATTGTGAGAATAGCACTTGATTTAATGTGGAAGTTTTTTTCTCTCATTTTAATAATATTGTTATATTATCTATAGAAATTTTTTTATTAGCGTATTACTTTGCTTAATAAGCCATATGTAAAACCAATTAGTTTTTAAAATTGTCAATTGGCCTATTGTGAGAATGTCACTTGGCTTAATGTAGATGGCTTTTTCTCTTCTTTTAATAATATATAGAATAAACTCGGTTGTTTTTTAAAATTGTCGATTGGCCTATTGTGAGAATGCCACTTGACTTAATGTGGATGCTTTTTTTTTTTTTCCTTTTTAATAATATATAGAATACTGATAGATATAAATTTTTAAATTTCTCTCCTTTTTATGATATACAATATAGATTTTTAAATAATAATCTAAAATTATTTTTTAGACTTAAAGAGTAAAAAAAACATGTGTTTTAATAAGCCAAATGTAAAATTAGTATTTTTTTAAAAAAAAAACTTGAAATCTCTAGTTCCTATTTTATAGGAGTATTGTCCTAAATTGTCAAGTGGCATATTGTGAGATTGTCGCTTAGCTTAATGTGGAGGTTTTTTCCCCCTCCTTTTAATAATATATAGAAGTAAGAATTTTTCGTTTTCCTTCTATTACTTATTTTTTTCCTTAACTTGAATTATAAGAAATTTTCGTTTTTCCTTCTCTTACTTTTTTAGGGGGTCTGTGCTTAAATGTACAGCCCAAACAAATAGTTTCCACCTGTATAACCTTATAATTATATATATTTTGATTTTTTAACATATACTTACATTAAATTTTATGAAGCCAAATCTCTTTCAATGTTATTTTTTACCTTCTTCCCCAAATTACCAAATCCTCTTCATTTTTTATTTTTTTATTTTTAAAATCTGTATAACACACTACTAGAAATATGGTATTTTCCCACGAAAAAATTGTCAGTGGAAATTCTCACCGAAATGCAATGGAAAAATTAAAATTTCTGTTCCAAAAAATATAAATAACATTTTCCATTGACTATCAGTGGGAAAGTTTTGGCGCAAAAATGCGCGTAGTTTAGTTCCCTCTGATTCAGTGGGAAAATTCATTAAAAAAATAATTATATAAAACTAAAAATAATTCTCAGAGAAGACACTAGGAACTTAAACAATAAATAAAAAATATTTTAAAATATTCCCACAGACTTAGTGTGTAAGATATTTTTTGAATTTATTTTTTGTAATTATAAAAAATATTTTCTACGGAGCTTTCCCACGATAGTAGTGAAAAAATTTATTATTATTAACGTTTTATAAGCTTTCCCACGATAGTAGTGGAAAAGTTTATTATTATTAACGTTTTATAAGTTTTCTCTTAGTCTATTCATTCACATAACATTTTAGTTTTTCCCCCTCTGNCCCTCTCCCTCTCACTCACTCATCCGATCTCCTTTTTTTCGTTTTTGATTTTCCCCAAAAAACTTTGAATTTTATGGATTTTATACTGTTTCAAACCCTAGGTTTAAAAAATTAATGTTATTCTCTTGTGAATATATGGTCTTAGAAACAATTAATTTTAGGGAATAGATCAATAATGAGACAAAGGCAAGAACTTTAGACGATTCTGGTTTAGTATATAGACCAGATTTTCGTTAATCCATGAACAGGATAATACATTATTATTGGAAGAGGATTAAGAAATAAAGAAAGAATCAAGATTGATCAAAATAAGAGAGGAAGTGAGAGTACTGCTGCGTTATTTCTTGAGTTTATGACCTAAAATAAGGTTGCTTTGGTGCTAGATCATTCTAAGGGTGGCCTAGGAAACGCATAGATTGGTTCCTAATTTAGTTTTCTTTTTTGGATGCTATATCCCTATTAAAGATTCTTATGGAATAAGGAATGTTGAGAAAATTTAGTACTTAAGTTTCGTTCCTATTTTTTGTTATTTTTTCCTGAGATGATTTTATATGGTGAAACATGGTCGGTAAATGTTTATATAGCCTACCCCGACTTATTTGGGAGTGAGGCGTTGTGTTGTTTCGATGCTATATATTTAATATAACTCTTTATTATTAAATGAGTAAAGAAGAGATTTTTGCGTATTAGCTTGGGTATCGTAGTATGCAATTATTGTTAGAGGTCTGCACATTGAACTGTCTCAAAAGTTTGTCGTTGAAGCTTTATAGTAAAAACTGAGAATAGAAGTAGAGAAGCTGTAAATTATCTTTGTTGAAAAAGTATGTTGTACTGTACAATTGTCCTTTTTGTGGGTGTAAAAATGAAAAGTGCTTGCAGTTAATGACAGTGGTGATTAGAAGCACAATGGTGATAGACATTGTTGAATTGTGTATCTGTAGATTTTTTGATTAGATTACTTTTTTCTGTCTTTTCTGTATCTCATCTTGGTGATTTCTATGTTTTAGGCATCACTTAGCGGAGTTGGGTTGCATATTTGTTATCTTTTAACAAGGACAATGAATCAACTAAATATAAGATAACAAAGTATATGATTAGTATATATTGAATAAAATAAATTATGTACTTCTTTATTTAATATTTTATTTTGTTATTGTGTAATAGATGGAACAAGATCGTAGATGGATGTCCGATAGAAATCATCCTAATCGTAGGGGATTGAAGGAAGAATTTGTAGAAGGTGTTAAAGGATTTATTGCTTATGCAAAAATACTTCCTGAATTCTGTAATGAAGGAATGAATAGATGTCCTTGTGCTAAGTGCAATTGTATAACGTTATTGATACCGGAGGATGTTAAAGTTCATCTTTATAGAAAGGGGTTTAGAGAAAATTATTATGTGTGGATGGTTCATGGAGAGAACTATAGGTATTTAACTGATGTTGACTTTCAGAATCTTACTGGTTGTGAGAGTGGTACATTCTTTGAGAATAATCAAATGCATGAAATGGTGTCGAATGCTTTTGGGATACGCTCAAGAGTTCAATCCCAACAAAATATTGACGAGTCGCCCAATGATGAGGCAAAGCACTTTTATGAGTTATTAGAGGCTGCTAGTCGTCCAGTCTATGAAGGCTCAATACACTCGGAGTTGTCTGTTGCAGTTAGATTACTAACTATCAAATCGGATTGAAATATTTCTCAAGCGACCATGAATGCTATAATTGGGTGTATGGGTGAAGTTAGTCCGAACATTAACTTACCCTCGTGATTACTAAGGCTAAGAAGTTAGTTTCCAAGTTAGGACTTTCCTCAACAAAAATTGATTGTTGTAAAAAATGTTGTATGTTATATTATAAAGATGATGCGGCTCTAGAAGCGTGCAAATTTTGGGGATTGTCTTATTTTAAGGAAGTCACAAATGTCAAAGCAAAGAAATTTCCAATTAAGAGGATGCATTACTTACCTATTATACCTAGGTTAAAGAAGTTGTATGCATCAATGAGTTCCGCTCCTCATATGAGATGGCACTTCGAAAATAGAAGGGCGCCTGATATTTTGTGTCATCCATCAGATTAGCTTATCTTGGATGGTACCTGGATGTTGAATATTGAATGTTGGATTTTTTAAGTTTTTGTTCTAATTTCTGATTAGTTGGATATTGATTATGAAACAGATTGATTAGTTGTTTATGAAATGAATTGGATTGCATGTTGAATTTGGTATTTGAATACTTCATTGTATTTAGTCTTGTATTGTTGGCTGTAATTTCTGTTTGGTAGGTGGTGTAGTTATAAAATAAATTTGGCCATGAAAATATTTTTCAGATTTTTCACGGATTTTCCACCGACGTCGTGGGAATTTTGTGCATATTTTTTTCCAGAATTTCAATATTTCTCACTGATTTTTATGGGAATGTTCATATGTTTATTTTCAGGTTATGAATATTTCCCACTGCTTCCAAGGGTAAAATAAAAAAATATCTAAATTATTTTTAATACTTTCCACAAATTCGGTGGGAAACTTAAGAAAATTAAATTATTATATTTTCTTATTTTCCCACGACGTTCGTGAAAAATTATACTAGGTGACCCCACCAAGTTCTCGTGAAACTCTCAGTGGGAAACTCCCTGGGAATTACCCACGAATGTCCTGGAAAACTATCCCACCAGCCATTTTTCCACTGAGCGTCACCCCTGGGAATGTCGTGGGAATATTGAAATTTCACACAGATTTTCCACCGATTCTTTCGTGGAAATTTTTTTATATTTCTAGTAGTGGCATAATGTATATATAACTAGTTTCTATGAACGTGTGTTGCACGTTAATAATAAAACGTAATTGTTCAGTTAATTATCTATATGAAAGAACGAAAAGTTTAATTAATGGAAAATTATAGTTTTAGAAATATGCAATACGATCATATTAACGTAAGGTTATTTTATAGACGTTATATTTGTGTATGTTCCCTTTAGACGCTTTGAATGCTCTGTCATATCCAGAGCTTTTGTTATCGACATTGAAATACCTCTTGCGTCATGTACTTTCCACAACTTCTATTTTTATTTAATGATGAAAGTATTTTTCTTATTAAGCGATCTTCACCACTATTATTACTATCAGGCTTGACACCAATTATTCAGGAAGAAGGATCACATTATTTTTTATTGTATGCTCTTCTCCATTTACGACACGAAGCAAAAAATTATTGAATGTTGGATATGTTTTTGTTCTCATGTTTCTTGTTAGATGAATATTTTTTATTTGAGGTAATACGTATTATTTTATCAAGTTTGCATTTACAGTCTCTGTTCTCGTCGATTTTAGGACTAATGGTAGTATTTGTTGAAAATCACCTCGAAA